TATTTCCAGTGAAAAGAGACACATTGTTTCATATCTGTAAAAGATGTTGTTTCCAGGGTCAGGCTCACCGACTGAGACATGAATCAAGGTAATGCATCAGTATTGTGTCAGGGTAGGATTAGGCCACTTGACCATCTGTGTGGTTGAGACCACGGCCTTTTGCACATAAATGTTCTCCAAACGTGAGTTTAGAAGATCTGAGAAAATGTTCATGAGAGGGCATAACAAATGACCAGTGAAAAGAGACATTTGTTTGGGACACAGAATTTCATGTGCAATGAAGTGTCCCGAGTCAAGGACATATCAAGGCAATCATCGAGAATGTTGTATGTCAGAAGTGGTTGAACTGCACCTCCATATGAGACCAGGGCTACCTATTAGGTAAGGAAGATTTTGTTCCTTGAGTGCGGCGCCAACAACGCTCGACCATCTGGCGATGGTCGAGACCACAGTAACTTTGCACATAAATCTTCTCAAGCATTGATTTAAGAAGATCTGGCTGAAATGTTTCATACTGAAGGGCCTTCTTAAATGTTCAATTGAAAAGAGAGAGCATTTGTTTCAGTTTGAAGGCCCCTGTGGCAATGCTCCGAAGTCAGTCACCATTTAACGGCCTTGTAATCAAAATGTGATGAAAAGATGCATGTCAGAAAGTGGTTGAACCAACTTTTTGTATGGAGACAGAGCACTATTGGGTGGAAATTTTGTTCAGGAATCTCAGCTAATTGCCATCTCAATGGTAGAGTCTATTTGCATAAAATGTTCTCAAGTGGTTAGAAGATCTGGCGAAAATATTCCATACTGAAGGGCCCTTCTTAAATGACCAGTGAAGAGACACATTTATTTGGGACACAGAGGTACTGTATCTAATGAAATGTTGTGTCCAGGGTCGAGGTCAACATTTAAAGGACATAAAAATCAAACAATAATCAATATTGTATGTCAGAAGTGAATGGGCTAGCAGCCATCGTGACGTGGTCAGGACACAGTATTACTTTGCACATAAATGTTCTCATTACATTAATTTTAAGAAGATCTGGCAATGTTCCATACTGAGGGCAGCAAATGTTTCCAGTGAAGAGACATTGTTTGGGACACAGGAAATTTTCATGTCTAGCTGAAATGTTGTCAGAGTCAGTCATTAAGGCATAATATCCCAGAGTAATGCATCGAAAATGTTAATATGTCAGAAGTGGGATTGAACACGCTCCTCCATGTGGACTGTAGTGGGAAGATTTGTTCTTAGTCTGGCGTGTAGACCACGTGGTTAGAGTACGACCCTTTTGCACATGTGTTCTCAGAGCATTGGTTTAAGATCTGGCAAATGTTTCATCTGAAGGGCCTTCTTAGATATTTCCAGTTGAAGAGAAACATTTGTTTCGGTTTGAAATTTTCATGTGTGGATGCGTTGTTCCGTAGGGTCAGATCGCCATTGCTGACATGAAATCAGGCAATATTATTGAAAAAGATGCATGTCAGGGCTGAGACAGAACACCTATTCAGTGGGAAGTTTGTCATGAAGTCTGGCGCCTTGAACCACTCGACCATCTGACATTGGTAGAGATCACGTATTGCTTTTGCGCATAAATGTTCTCCAGAGCGTGAGTTTAGAAGATGGCAATGTTGTACTGAAGGGCCTTCTTAAATGTTTCCAGTGAAAGAGACACATTTGACTGAGACAGTATTTTCATGTGCAATGAAAAATGTTGTGTCCAGTCAGGCATCAGCGACTGAGACATAATATCCAAGGCAATGCATCGAAGCTGTTGTATGTAGAGTGGAAGTTTGAGCCCACGCCTGAGACAGGCACACCCTATTAGGCTGGGAAAATTTATTCCTTAGTCTGGCGTATATTACTCGGCCCATCTGACATTGATTTGTGCCACTTTACATGAAATATTCTCAGGCATTGAGTTTAGAAGATGGCGAAAATATTCATACTGAAGGGCGCTTCTTAAATGTTTAGGTGAGAGTTTGCATTTGTTTGGGACAAGAAATTTCGCCATCCTGGCAAAATGTTTCCGAAAGGAGTCAGTGCCATTTAACAGTACATAATATCCAAAACAGTGCATCAGCAAATGTTAATGTGTCAGGGTGGAAGTTGAGAACCAACGCTCAGCTATGGAGACCAGTGCACTGTGGTGGCTGTACCTTGAGAGTCGAGCGCCAGTGGCTCGGCCATCCCTGACTTGGTCAGGGTGCTCTGTCTCTTTGCACATGGATGTTCTCCAGGTGAGTTTAGAAGATCGGCAGCTATTCCATACTGAAGGGCTTGCTTCTTAAATGTTTCCAGTGAAGAGAGAACATTTGTTTCGGACACAAATTTTCGTAGCAATAAATAAAAAACGTGTTTCCAGAGGGTCAGTCTGCAACGACACATGAAATCCCAAGATATGTGATGAAAAAGATGCATGAAGTGAGATTTGAGCAACACTCCGAACCAGGCTGCCTGTGGCTGGGAAGACATTTGTTTCGCCTGATCTGGCGCCTGATTTTTCCGTCTAGTATTGCTTTTTGCGCATAAATGTTCTCAAACATTGAGTTTGAATCTGGCAGAATGTTCCTGCTGAGGGCCTCTAATAAATGTTTCCAGTGTTTGGGACAAATTTTCATATCTAATGAAATGTTGTTTTCCAAGGGTCAGAATACCGACTGGGCATAAAAATCAAATATGCATCGAAAATGTTGTATGTCAGAAGTGGTTAGACTGCTTGGCCATCGTGTTCGGTGGGATTACAGTGTGCACATAAATGTTCTCAGGCTGTGAGTTTAAAAGATCTGGCCATGTGAAGATGCCTTCTTAAATGTTTCCAGTGATGGACACATTGTTTGGAAGTTTGCAAATTTTCATATCTAGTAAAAGATCTTGTTTGAGGTCAGGTCACCATTTAAAGGACATAAATCCCAGGTAGCCATCAGTGTTGTGGCTCAGGGTGAGACTGAGCACGCCTCCATGGAGACAGGGCACCCTGACCAAACAGGAGGCTTGTTCCGCGAGAGTCTGGCGCCTTTCGGCCATCTGACCGTGTTTAGGAACCACAGTGTCTTTTGCTATGTGTTCTCAAATGAGTTTAAGCGAAAATATTCCAGCCCTGAGGAGCGCTTCTTAAATGTTCCCAGAAGAGACACATTTGAGACAATTTTCATATCTAGTAAAAAAAAATGTTTCCAGGTCAGAGTCTCTTAACAGTACATAATATCCAAAACAATAAATCGAAAATATGACAGTATGTCAGAAGTGAGATTTGAAACCAACACCTCCATGGAGGGCCAGTACACCCTGACCAAGTGGGAGATTGTGTTCAGCGCCTTGGGCCACTCGGCCATCCTGAAGGACTCTTTTTGCACATAATTTTCAGGCATTAATTAGAAGATCTGGCGCATGTTCATACTGAAGGGCAGCACAAAATGTTTCCAGTGAAAAAGAGACACATTGTTTGGGACACAGAAATTTTCATATCTAGTAAAAAAAATGTTGTTTCAGAGGTCAGTCACCATTTAAAAGGACATGGTAAAACAATGGATCGAAAATGTTGTATGTCAGGCAAATGAGCCCTTGTGTCGTGACCATTGGTGCATTTGCACATAAATGATAAGCTGTGAGTTATCTGGCTATGTTTCAGGAACGCTTCTTAAATGTTTCCAGTGAAGAGCATTTGTTTCGGTGCAAATTTTTCATGTATCATGCGTTTCCAGGGTCAGGTCACCATTTAACAGTACATGAAATCCAAAATGTTGAAAGAGATGCATGTCAGAGAGAGGTGGATTTGAACCAGCGCCTCCATATGAACCCGAAACACCCTGTGCTGGGAAGACTTTTGTTCACGAGTCTGGCCCGCCCAGGCTGCGACCATCTGACCGTGTCACGTATTGCTTTTGCACATGAAATGTTCTCAAACATTGGTTAGAAGATGCTGGCAATATTCCCTACTGAGGCACTTCTTAAATGTTTCCAGTGAAAAGAGAAGACATTTGTTGGGACACAGAAGGCCACTTCATATCTATCAAAATGTTGTGATCCAGAAAGTCGGAAATCAACTGCCCCAAGGACATAATATCCAAAAACAATGTTGTATGTCAGGGAAGTTTGTACGCCCATATGGAGACCAGAACACCCTATTGGAAACCAGGAAGATTTTGTTCCTTGTGTCTGTGCTCCGTGCATTGGTCAGGGACTACAGTATTTAACTTTGCACGCCAAATGTTCTCAGGCTTATTGCGTTAGAAGATGCAGCAGAAAAATGTACTGAGGCCTTCTTAAATGTTTCCAATTGAAAAGAGACACATTGTTGGGACACAGAAATTTTCATATTTGAATGAAGTGTTTCCAGGGAGTGTCAGATCACCATTTAAAAGAGACACTAAATCCAAGGCAATAGTGAAAAAATATTGTTTGTCAGGGTGGGGCCAGGCAACGACATCGTATTGCAGTGAGATTAGAGACCACAGTGTGCTTTTACTTTATAAATGTTCTCAAACGTGAGTTTAGAAGATCTGGCAAATGTTGAAGGAGCCTTCTTAAATGTTTCCAGAACAGCTGTTTCGGAAACAGAATTTTCATGTGTACGTGAAAACGTTGTTTCAAGGGGTCAGGCCACCATTCTTTGTACATGGTAATGTATTGCGAACCCGGCACTACTCCAAACACGGAAACCCATACAATATCTGATTACATTGTTAAATTTGATCATCAGCCCATTTAGGGTGTGCACATCAAATTCAGTGAAGTGTTGTTTGTCAGAAGTGATTGAGCCACTTGGCCATCGTGACATTGGTTAGAGACCACAGTAACTTTTGCACATAAATGTTCTCAAACATTGAGTTTAGAAGATCTGGCGAAAATGTTCCATGCTGAAGGGCCTTCTTAAATGTTTCCAAATGAAAAGAGACACATTTGTTTGGGACAAAGAATTTTCATATCTGAGTAAAAAAAATGTTTCAGGGTCAGAGTCACCATTTAACAGTATATAATATCAAACAATGCATCGAAAAATGTTGTATGTCAAGTGGGATTTGAACCAACGCCTCATATGGAACCAGTACACCCTATTAAGTAGGAAGATTTTGTTCCTTGAGTCTGGCGCCTTAGACCACTCAGCCATCCTGACGTGATTAGGTTCTGTGCTTTACTGCAAATCTTCAAACGTGAGTTTGCGTAATATTCCATGTACTGAGGGCCTTCTTAAATGTTTCCAGTGAAAAGAGATTTGCATTGTTGAGACACAGAATTTTCATATCTAAATGTTGTTGTCAGATCACCAGGACACTAAATCCCAAGGCAATGGATGCAGTATTGTTTGTCAGGGTGGAATGAACCGCATAGAGTGACATTGATTGGGAACCACAGTACCTTTGCATAAATGTTCTCAGAGCATTGAGTTTGCAGCGTATTTGTATTGAAGGGCCTTCTTAATGTTTCCAGTGTTTGACTGTTTGGGACAAATTTTCATATCTAGTAAAAGGTCTTGTTTCAAAGGAGTCACCATTTAAAAAGGACGTAAATCCAAGATATACATCGAAAGGATGCATGTCAGAAGTGGGATTTGGAAACGCCTCCCAGAAAGTGAGGCTCACCCTGACAAGTGGGAGATTTTGTTCAACAGTCTGTGTATATCATTCATCATTTGAGACTGGCTTTGCCAAGCTCAAGCATTGAGGTTAGAGATTCTGGCGAAAATATTCCATACTGAAGAGGCCTTCTTAAATGTTCAAATGAGACACATTTGTTCAATTTCATATCTAGTAAAAAATTGTTTCCTGGTCAGGTCACCATTTAACGGTACATAATATCAAAACAATGCATCGAAAAATGTTGTATGTCAGAAATTGAAGTTTTGAACCAACGCCTCAATATGAGAGACAGTACACCCTGTGTGGGAGATTGTGTTCGGTCTGGCGTGCCCCGCTAGGCCATCTGGCTGGTTAGAGACCACTGTGTTGCACATAAATGTTGCTCAGAGCATTGAGTTTTGAAGATCTGTGTTCCAGCTGAAGGGCCTTCTTAAATATTTCCAATGAAGAAGACACGTGTTGAGACACAGGAATTTTCATATCTGAATCAAAAAAATGTTGTTTTCCAAGGGTCAGACACAAGGACACTAAATCAAACAATGGATCGAAAAATGACAATGTCAGAAATTGAAGTTAGGCTGCCAACCCATCGTGACATTGGTAGAGACACAGTATTGCTTTGCACATAAATGTTCTCAAACATTTGGTTTGAAGGCGTTTCATACTGAGGGCCTTCAATGCCAGTGAAACATTTGTTTCGGACATTTTCGTAATATCATAAAGCCTGTTGTTTCCGAATGCCATTTAAGGACATAAAATCCCAAGTAATGCATCGCCATTAACTTCAGGGAAGGATATACTTGCTTGCTCATTGCTGCACATGTGTTCTCAAACATTGAGTTTAGAAGATCTGGCATGTTCTGAGCGCTCTTAAATATGTTTCCAATTGAAGACATTGTTTGGAGACACAGAAGATTTTCATATCAATAAAAAATGTTGTGTCCAGCTCAACATTTAAAAGACATAATATCCAAAACAATGCATCGAAAAATGTTGTATGTCAGAAGTGGGATTTGAGGCCCTCCATATGGAAGACAGAGAACACCCTGACAGGAGGGAGATTTTGTTCGCTGAGTCTGGCGCCTTTCCTGGTGTCTGGCAATGATGAAACCGCGACCTTTTTGCACATGGGTGTTCTCAGGCATTGCGTTTAGAAGATGCAATGAAAATATTCCGTACTGAAGGAGCTAAATATTTCGTTGAGAACGCATTTATTTGGGACACAGAATTTTCATGCATCTGTAAGGTGATCAGTGCCATTTAAAGGACACTAGAGCAAGGCAATGGATCAGTATTGTTTGTCAGAAGTGAAGTTGAACCGCTGACCCCATCGTGACGTGATTGAGACCACGTGTTGCTTTTGCTGTAAATGTTCTCAGGCATTAGTTTGAAAGATCTGTGAAAAAAATATTCCATGCACGAAGGGCCTTCTTAAATGTTTCCAGTGAAAAGAGACACATTTGTTGGGACCATGTCAAAGCAAAGGCATTTCGAGGTCAGGTTTAACGAGCATAATATCAAAACAATGCATCGAAAAAATATTGTATGTCAGAAAGATGAGATGTGAATATCCATGTGAGACCAGTACGCCTGGTAAGTGGGAGATTGTGTGTTCCTTGTCTGGCAGACACTCGGCCATCCTGACTTTGGTTAGAGACCCTGTGCTTTTTGCTCAGGCATTGCGTTTGAAAGATCTGACGTATTCCATACTGAAGGGCCTTCTGCTCCCAGGTGGAACACATTTGTTTGGGACAAAAGAGTGCATATTTAGTAAAAATTGTTTCCTGAGACATATCCAAAACAATGCATCGAAATGTTGTATGTCAGAAGTGGATTCGCCTGCATATGAGTTGAACCTATTGGAAACAGGAAGATTGTATTCCTTGTCTGGCGCCTTTGCTCGGCTATCTGACAGTTAGAGACCACTGCTGCATGTTCTCTGGAAGCATTGGTACGAGATCTGGCGCAATGTTCCAGTACTGAAGGCAGCTGTAAATGTTTCCAGTGAGACACATTGTTTGGACACCAAATTTTCATATCTGAATGTTGTTTCAGAGGTCAGTCACCATTGACGCCATCCCAAAACAATGGATCGAAAATGTTGTATGTCAGAAGTGGGGTGATCACTTAATATCATTGTTAGAGACAATGTGCTTTTGCACATAAATGTTCTCCAGACATTGAAGTTAAGACAAAAAAGCGATTTCATACTGAGACTGTATGTTTCCAGTAAAGAAGCATTGTTTGAGGCTGCAGAAATTTTCATGTATCATCAAAATGTTGTTTCAGAGTCAGGCTCACGCAATGCATCAGCTGTGTATGTCAGAGATGGGATGCTATCGTGTTCCACAATGCTTTTTGCACATAAATGTTCTCAAACATTGAGTTTAGAAAATCTGCATGATCTACTGAAAGGGCCTTCTTAAATGTTTCCGTTGAGAAGGACATTTGTTTGGGACAGAGATGTCTAGTAAAAAATGTTGTGTCCAGAGGTCAGATCAGCATTTAAGGGCATAAGCCAAAACAATGCATCGAAAATGTTGTATGTCAGAAGTGGATTTGAACCTTTTAGCAGGCACCCTATTAGGAGGGAAGACTTTGTTCCTTGAAGTCTGGCGTAACCGACCATCCTGACATTGGGTGAAGGCCACGTCAAATCTTTGCACATAAATGTTCTCAGAGCATTGCGTTTGAAAGATCTGGCGAAAATATTCCATGCTGAGGCCTTCTTCAAATGTTTCCAGTGAGGCACGACTGTTTGGGATCTAACCAAAAAAAAGGAAGAATTTGTTTCAGGGGTCAGGTAAGGACATAAATCCAAGGCAATGGATTGAAAGTGACGTTTGTCAGAGATGAGATTAGACCACTTGGCACCATCAGTGTTCCTGGTTAAGACACAGTGTTTGCTGTAAATGTTCTGAAACGCATTGAGTTTAAGATCTGAAAATATTCCATATTGAAGGCAGCTAACTAAATTGAAGAGACACATTTGGGACACAGATTTTCATATCTAATGAAAAGATCTTGTTCTCCGAGGTCGAATGCCATTTGGGACATGGAAATCAGGCAACCAGTATGTTAGCTGTCAGAAGTATTGCGCTTCCACATGGAGACCCAGGCTTACCCTGACAAACAGGAGCTTTTTATTCCTTGAGTCTGGCATGTAGACCACTCGGCCATCCTGACATTGTTAGAAGACCACAGTTTGCACATAAATGTTCTCAAACATTGAGTTTATCTGGCGAATATTCCCGCTGAAAGGGCACTTCTTAAACCTGTTCCCAAATGAAGACTGCAAAATTTTCATATCTAGTAAAAAATTGTTTCAGGTCAGGTCTGCCATTTAACAGCCCACATAATATCAAAACAACTGCATCAATGTTGATGTCAGAAGTGGGATGTGCTGCTCTCCATATGAGACCAGTACCCTGGTGGGAGATTGTTTCATGAGAGTCTGGCGCCTTAGGCTCACTGCAATCACTGATTAGAGACCGCTGTATTGCTGCATAAGTGTTGCTCCAGGCATTGATTTGAAGATCTGCGAAAAATGTTCCATACTGAAAGGGCCTTCTTAAATGTTTCCAGTGAAAAGAGACAAATTTGTTTGGAGACAAAAAATGCGTATCTAGCTCAAAAAAAAAATGTTGTTTCCAGGGTCAGGTCACCATTTAAAGGACATAATATCGAGAATATCTGTCAGCAAATGTTGGCTTATTCTAGTTTGAACCCCTTTATATGGAGACAGAACACCCTGTGAAGCAGAGGGAGTGGTTCTGACTCTGGCGCCTTGAACCGATCATCCTGAGTGGCCAGAAGACACAGTAATGCTTTTGTTTGCCATTTCTCAGAGCATTGTGGTTAGAAGATCTGTGAAAATATTCCATACTGAAGGGCCTTCTTAAATGTTTCCCAGGCTGAAAGGACACATTTGACTGGGTTACAATTTTCATATCTGAACAAAATGTTGTTTCCAGAGGTCAGGTAAGGACATGGTATCCCAAAGCAATGCATCAAAAAGTGTTGTATGTCAGAGATTAGACGCGGCTGTCGTGGCATTGGTTAGAGACAGAAATATTGCTTTGCACATAGATGTTCTCCAGAGCATTGGAGTTTCTGGCGAAAATGGCCCCATACTGAAAGGCCTTCTTAAATGTTTCCCAGTGAAAAGAGAGACATTTGAGACACCCAGGAATTTTCATATCTAGTAAAATATTTGTTTGTCAGGTCACCATTTAAAGGGCATAAAATCAAAACAATAAATGCGAAAAAATATTGTATGTCAGAAGTGGGATTGAACTGCTTGCCATCGTGACTGTATTAGGTTCTGATATTGCTTTGCACATAGTCTCAGAGCATTAGAAAATCTGTGAAAAAATGAAGAGACCTTTCCAGTGAAAAGAGGAAGGCATTGTTTGGGACACAGAGATTTTCATGTATCTAGAAAATGTTGTGTCCATCGAGATCAGCATTTAGCAAGATATCCCAAGGCAATGCATCAATGTTATGTCAGAAGTGAGTTGCCTTCCATATGAACCAG